GGTTTGGAATGTGATAAAATATCCACAATTTTATACGAAGACAATGTTGCATGCATAGCCCAATTAAAGGGACGATTTATAAAATGAGATAAAACGAAGCACATTTCACCAAAATTATTCTACACACATGATCTTAAAAAAAATGGTGGCATTGATGTGCAACAAATCCGTTCAAGTGACAATCCGGCAGATTTATTCACTAAATCTTTGCCAACTTCAACTTTTGAGACGATGGTATACAAGATTGGAATGCAGAGACTCAAATATTTGAAACAAGATTTTTATTAGGGGGAGTAAAATATGCGCTATACTCTTTTTTCCTTACTAAGGTTTTTCCCACATAGTTTTTCTTATAAGGTTTTTAATGAGACAACTAGTTATGCGTATTTTACTAAATATGTGTACTCTTTTTCCTTCACTAGAATTTTTTTTCCCACGGAATTTTTCCTAGTAAGGTTTTAACGAGGCACATTATCTTTTAATGGACATTCAAGGGGGAGTGTTATAAATATATTATATTATGGATATTTATTTAGTACTCCGTTGTAAATAAGCTTCCTGAAGAAGCTTATATATATGAGACTCCGCCGTAAATATGTTTATCTATTTAGTACTCTATTGGAAATAAGCCTTCTGAAGAAGCTTATCCTTTCGGTACTCCGTTATGGATACACATCACCCACGGTAGAAGATTATCTATATCTGATACAATGAGCTTATCCTTTCGGTACCTCGTTATGGATAAACATTACCCCCGGTACAAGATTATTTATATCTAGTACAATGAGCTTATCCTTTCGGTACTCCGTTATGGATAAACATTATCCCTGGTAGAAGATTATCTATATCTAGTACAGTAGCAACTTACATAACAACTTGCAGAAGTAGCTTACACAGCAGCTTGCAGAAGCAACTTAAACAATAGCTTGCAGAAGCAGTTTACACAGCAGCTTGCAGAAATAGCTTACACAACAACTTATTTTCTTCTATAAATAGATTGAGATTTCTTCAGTATATACTTGTTTTTATTCTAGTAGCTTTATTTTATAATAGAAGAGTAATAATTGGTGGAGAAATGAATAAAACCATAGTGATAGTGGGGACAAACCAAATTAAATGGTAGGGACTGCAATTATACGACAAGAATAATCACAAATATCATCCATAGCAGGAATTAGGAAAATCAAAGCTAGTTAAAAAGGTACACTGTACAAATTTATCACAGTACTAACATCCATTTGCGTTGTGTTTGTGTACTATACCTTTGACTGCTATTCTACCCCCCACACCCCCTCTCCCAAAAACAGGTTATTCTTTAGATCTTTCTTTTCATAAATTCCTATTGTTGCTGCATTTATATGCTTCAGATTTCCTATTAATTGAACAACATCTGCATACTTGTAACTCCAAACTATAGCAAAATTGTCATTTGGGGGTAGAGTTGACACCTTATTTTCTTGCAGTGCAAGGAGTTTAGGACATAATCAAGAATCAAGGAAATGGAAGTGGGTCAATTGCAGAGGAGCTTTATTGAATACATGGGCTCTTTGTTTAATGAGGTAAACCAAAAAAGGAGAAATCTTTATGTGGATTTTGCACTTTTGGTCTTGTTTTCTTGTTTTTCTTTACCTTCTGCTTTTTGGGTGTTTTTAATCTTTGATTGAAATGCTGTTAATTGTTGGAAGCAGCTTCTGTTTTGTTTTTCCTTATTATTCTTTATCTTAAGCCTTTTGAGTTGTTGAATTTTGCTGAAAGTTTTTGGTCTTTTCTCTTTGGTTGTAAAGTTGTTTTAATACAAAAAGGGGTACTTGGAGTCAGAAAGCTTTGTTTTTTTCTTGTTATTCTTGACCTTCTGCTTTTTAGTTGATTTTTTCTGAATTTTTTTCTTTGGTTGGAATGTTGTTTTGGTTCAAAAGGGATTCTTGGATGCTCAATTTAGTCAGCTTCAGCAATTGCAAGATGAAAGTAACCCTGATTTTGTAGTTGAAGTTGTATCTCTTTTCTTTGAAGATTCTGAAAGACTTCTCAATGATCTCACTATGGCTTTGTGAGTACTGACCCTTTTTTTTTTTTGCCTTCTTGATTATCCTAGAAAGCATTTTCTATCTTTTCATTTTCATTAGTTTGAATTTGTTGTATATTTTTTTCCAGAGATCAGCCCAATGTGGACTTTAAGCTGGTTGATGCTCATGTTCATCAGCTCAAAGGTAGCAGCTCCAGGTACATTAAGACCTTAAACCTTTCTTTCAATTTTTGCAAATTTTATAATTTTTCATGAGAAAAAGAGTTGATTTTGCTGACATAGTCTTTTAGATATTTACTCTTCTGATGAGAATTTTTTTGTGTTTATGACCGAGTGAACAGTATTGGTGCTCAGAGAGTGAAGAATTGCTGCGTCCCTTTCCGTAACGTCTGCGAAGAACAGAACACTGAAGCGTAAGTTTTTTTGCTTTCTGGTTCTTTCCAGATTTACAACTTACAAAAAGTCAAAACATTTTTGAGAAGTTGAAAGATCTAGATCATGTAGCATAGCTGGTTAACTGGTTGGTTATATCTTGTTTAGAGTAATGTTGAAACTTTTTAGGGGCTTAGATAATCTTAATGTTATTGATTTGCTATTTTTTTAATAAGGTGCTATTGATTAGCTAATTCTAGTAACGTGAGCCAATCCAATAAGAACACCCGTATAGGCTATTCTTAAAATGGTATTTGACTGATTACTTTTGACTAATCTACTAGTTACAAAGACTCCTTCTTTGTCTTGTGAACCTCGGAGTGTAGATCGTTTATGCACTAGAAATTGAGTATACATGTTGGGGAGTAACTGCTAAGAGATACTCCCCTTGTGTTGTTTGGATGCAAGTTATTTACATTATTTGCTTCTTATCTTCTGGTTGATGGGATATTTTAGGTGCTTGAGATGCTTGCAACAAATAAAACAGGAGTACTTGCTTGTGAAGAACAAGCTTCAAACTTTATTTGAGGTAAGGAGCTCCTTCCATTAGGAAATAGAAAGCTCTCTTCTTGATTGCGATGTAGAAATTTTGAATTTAATCTTTCTAAATTTCATAGATACCTATATAACTTGCCTTCTTCTTTGGCAACAGTTGGAGCAACAGATTGTAGCAGCTGGAGGAGCGATTCCGATGATGCAATAATCCAGTGGTTATGGGATTAGCCCCTAGTGCAGGATTAAACTTACTGAATTCCGTTTGTGGGGCGATTCCGTTTTCTTCGTGTGATTTCCTTGTGGATCACACTATCAACTTTATCAGGTTCTCTAAGTGGTCTATGCTTGCTGTAAAATATCGTTAAACAGTGTCAAGATGTGCCTCTTTTTTTCCACTGCTACTTATCGCTGTTTTTTTTTAAATGGCAAAACTTGCCATCCTACTCTATGACCAGAGTTTTATATTTTGGTTTCTTTAGCATTCATCATATGATGGAATTTTGTTCAGAGCATACATGTTGAGGACTCAATTCTTTTTCTGGTTTTCGAACAAGAAAAGCTGCATTTGCAAATCCCCCATTGCTATGAGTTGGCATTAGCCGGTGGCATTTTCTACTGGTAAAGCATTATTTACAAGCAGAGTCGGAGTTAGGATTTTCAGTTTATGGGTTCTGAACTATAATCTTTTTTGTTTATTGGGTTCTAAATAAATTATTTATACATATTCAATGAATTTTGTAACACAGATAGATATAGTGTTTGAGCCAAAACTATTGGATTCGGCCGGCTCCACCCCTGTTTACAAGGGTGTCTACGTAAATCAAGAACGAATGAGTAGTAGTTGTGATTATCGCATAAAAATGAAATAAGATCGTTTCTGTAGTCATTAGCTATTCTACCCGACCTCTCAGTTTGAGACAGTATAATTCTTGTATTTACCCTAATATGTCCATGGCAGTTGTAGTGTACAACATTAGGTGCTTATGATTTTTGCTAATGAAAATATAGGATTGAGAATCTCCTTCACCGGAAAACTACACTGTATTTGTAAGGTCAAAATTGATTTTTATGTCTATTTATCTAATTAATTTTTGCTTTAAATTTCTTGGTGAAAATTTTGGCTCGCCACTTAACTCTGATTGATCAAGGTAGCATTAAAGGTAGAACTTGCCAATTGCTGATAACAGAAGAGAGACAAAGTTGTTTTGTGCCCTACATCTTCTACCTATATGTTCAGATTTAAAAAAAACGATTCACAAATATAACATTAATTNTAAAAAAAAAAAAACGATTCACAAATATAAAATTATTTTTTCACAACAAGACATGTTTACTTTTTTAAAACAAACAAATGCTATGTTGAGATAAAAATATATACGATTCAGATATATAAAATCAATTTTGTCACAACAAGACAAGTTTGCTTTTAAAACAAACAAACAAATGCTGTCCAAACGGATTTTGACAATTTCCTTGGATGAACATGGACTGCACAATGATGACATTTCAATAAAAGATTTTTTAAAATATAATATACGATCATAATACAGCAATATGGATCTGTTTTACAGATATGATTTTAACCAAGTCAAAGAGACTGCCTCTGCATAAGTGCATATCCATAACCAGCTCATCATTTTCTGTTAAAAAAAAACTTTTTTTAAAATTATATATAGGAGGTAGAGGAAGGGAAAATGGGGGAGGGGAATCGAACTCTCACTTGAGTTTACCTAGCATTTAAAAGTTTAGGTACCCAACCAACTGAGACTAAGCTACTAAGATTCCCCATTAAAATACTTGAGATGACCAAAAATAGATCCAGAATTGGGGGGTGG